TTGCTGTGCACGTGCGACAGTCAGCGCACTGGGAAGGATTACATTTGAACAGAAAGTCAGACCCCCATGAAAAGGGGTCGGGGCTGGGGAGTGGGGGATCCAGCTCTTCTGAGGCCGCCTGGGAGTGTCCCCCTTGGCGGACACTCTCCCTCTTGCCACCACCCCACCCCAAGCTGAAAGCTGCTCCCAGACTTCCACCGAGCTCGCCCTTGTTGGAATGCAGGCCTGGAGCTTTCTCTGCAGCCCGGATCCCTTGCTAGTTCTGTGGTCTTGCGGAGTCCGGCGGCTCAGGGGTCCCCTAGACTAGAATATTCGGTGCTGCCGGAAAGGCGAGGACCCTTCCTTTTCTGTTGAACAAAGACCCCCGCCTCGGGTAGAGAAACGCTAGTTGAATGAAGGAATAAGCAAACGAGTTTGACCTAGTGCTCTCTTCCTTTGGGGGACGTGGGAGAGATTGGGCTGAGCACAGAGGAAAGGACTGGGTGTGATCACGATTTTTGCCTTCAGTGTTTTCCTGAGGAAATCTGTAACGCTGCCTACTTCCGTGGCACGTAAGGCTTGAGGTGCCTTCGGCCTGTGCCAGTGTTCGTGATTGACGGGGCAGGACCCTATTTCCCCTCTACACCCTGTGTTCCTCACCCTCCTACTCCGGTCCAGCCCATCACACTTAAACAATAGTCTTAACTTCAATGCCGCACGTCCCCTCTTCCTTCTCAAGTGCCACTGTCACTCTAGGCTTAGTCGTTAAGACCCAGGAAAGCCTTTTTCGGGACCTGCCTTAATGCATCCCTCCTCAGAGCTCTTTTCACAGTGCTGTTTTCTAAACCGTGCAGTGCAGGGCTTTCTAAACCTGTGCTGTCTTGTACAATCCTCAGATTGTTCAAGTGTGTTTGTAGTCTTGTGCTGACAGTCTCCCCGTGGAGATGGAACTCTGCATGGGAGAGGTTAGGAATTTGACATATAATCAGGGCTGAAAAGTCTTGATTACCTTCTTTCCAACTACACCCCTACTAACACCCGCTCTACTCTTGTCAGAAAATCTTGGTGGTGGGCTCCAGAGGAGTCCTGGGAAATTCCTTCCTATCATGTTTCAACTGATAAAAATCAAAAGGTCTTAAACCACTTTTTCATTCCAGGTAAATCTCTGCCCCCGTAAGAGGAGTTCAGGAAGTTCTCTCCTTTGGTGGTTATGGCTGCAATTTGCAATACAACTAGATCTATTGTCCTCTGGACTTATTGATGGTTCATATTACAGGTTAGGGAAGAGCCATACCTGTGAAATCGTGTGTGTGTGTGTGTGTGTGTGTGTGTGTGTGTGTGTGGTGTTGGAGGCTTGAAATACTGATCTGACTACTTTCTGAATGGCCAAAACCTGAACAAACCTGAACAAATAGCCAAACAAAACAAAAAGTGGTTTTTCTATCACCAGTTTGATTCTTCCTGTCAATCAAAAATGCATTACTGGGCCTGGAGAGATGGCTCACTGGTTAAGGACACTTGCTGTTCTTCTGGAGGACCCAGGTTTGGTTCTCATAACTCACATGATACTATTGTGGTAGCCAGCCCTAACCTGGTGACACTGTGTTACTTCCCAGGAAGACCCCACTCTAGCCTAGACACTCCTACTTTAATTATTAATGGCACTTCTTTCCAAAGTGGCCTGGTTTGTGTAACAATTTATACATTGCAACACTACCATTTCTAACTCTACTTCCAGGGAATCCAAAGCCCTCTTCTGGCTTCTGTGGCTGTAGCCGAAGCATACACGTGGTACACAGACACAAATGTAGGCAAAACACCAATACACCTAAAAATGAACCTTAAAAACAAATATCTAACATGAAGGTTTTCCAACCAAGACCTCAACTGTGTTGGATTTTTGCAGTTCTTCTTTGTCCAGAAGGCAGGAGACACAATGAAACTGGATGCCCCAATGCTGTAAAGCTGATGGTCTGCATTTTTGAAACTGCAAAAGGGGACCAAGTGGTTGAGACTGATGAATTCAGTGGGTGTCTACCAGCTTACATTCTTTTTCAATGGGTAGGATAGATTTCCCGTCTGTAGCAATACTGAGTGAGCATTTTGCTGTGAAACTTGCATTTTGACAAATATGATTCATTTTGAGTTGTGATGAAAAATTTACTTGGGAGTGTTTTTGAACCAAAATTTCAAAAAACATATCTCGTTTGGGCTGAGCCGGAACTCAGGATCCACTTTCTTTATTCCCTTTCCTTAACACCTGGAGATGGAATTACACCTGGAGCTGGGGTTGCTGCATTTACCAACCACACTTGGTTTGTGATGTAGAATTTTTTTCTTGCCAGGACCAAAGAAGTCTGAGAGCTATCTGATAGCCTATCCTAATGAGGGAAAGGCAACCAACCACATGGTAGCTCAGATTTTACTTGAGTTTACTTGTCAAGGCAGGTTGCTGGAAGTTTTGATGTTGTTTGATGTTTTTTTTTGGGTTTTTCAAGACAGGGTTTCTCTGTGTGGCCCTGGTTGTTCTGGAATTGGTTCTGTAGACCAGGCTGGTGGATAACTTAAGAGATCAGCCTGCCTCTGCTGGGATTAAAGTCGTGTGCCACCACCATCTGGCATGGTTGTTGGAAGTTTTTTAATGAGGGCAGAAAGCTGCCTTCTGTAGAATTATTTGACCATTATTATCTTATAAAATAAAGTGCTTTAGTTTCTGAGAAGCTGTAATTAGTTGACCTTCCCAATGAGTTAAACAGTTGGACCGAAGAGTGACCCTCAAAAGCTTGTTTATCCAGTACTTCAGCTTCTAGTGGGTTTGTTTCTCCCTACTTTCCATTTTTAGCAAGTCTTCTGAGATTAGCATCTATAACCATGATTTGGCCTAGCCTGTAAGTCCACCCTGCCAATGATGGACCCTGTGAATCTTACTTTCTGGTCTCTTCCCTTTTAGAAATCCTCTCTCCATAAACATGAACTGGGCCTAGTAATGGTGCTCTACTTGGCAAAAATAACAGCACATCACCTGTTTGAAAAAATAAAAAAGGACTTATTTATTTATTTGAGTGGGGGGGGGTGCCCACGAGCTCACAGAAGCCAGAGGGATGGGATCCCCTGAAACTGTAGTTAGAGCCTATTGTGAGCTACTACTGACATGGGTGCTGAGAAACTCTAGTGTTCTGAAAGATCAGTACATGACCTTCACTGCTGAGCCATCTCTCCAACCTCCTCACTTCTGAACCCTGGTTACAAAAAGATACTGGATTTCATGAGAGCTGGTGAGATGGCTCAGTGCTTAAGAGCTCTTGTTGGTCATTCAGAGGACCTAGGTTTGATTCTCAGCACCCTCATGGTGGCTCACAGCCATCTACAATTCCCACCATTCAAGAGATCTGATGTCTTCTTCCAACATCTATGGGCACAGGCGAGCGTGCACACACACACCACCCATATGCATAATCTTTCAAATAAAGGTTCATGGCTTGCATCTTGTTCTCTCACTATGCTCCCTCTCTTTTGCTTTCTTCTGCATTTCCTTAAAGGGAAACCAGCCTCCATCTCTTGAATTGTCCCATGGGAAGATCCATGTGGCAAAAACTGTTATCTCTGGCAAAACCAGGGACTTCCAGATGCTTGCTGGAGTCAAGGATAAGCTTAGAGGCTTCTTCCTGCTCAGTTGGTCCTTGAGATAACTTTGACCCCAGGGGAAACCTTTGTCACAGAACTCTGGATTCTTGACCCATAGAAACAAGTGACAACTGTTCATCCTGGCATAGTTTACTACTTATCAATAGATA